AGATATTTATAATTAGAAATTAAATGGGTCCTAATCGAAAAGACAAGTAATAAGGATGCTTCAATCAATCCTAACAACTTATTTTGAACATGCAGCACTTCTGTCATGAGGGAAAGGAATGCTCCTTTGAAGGATTTTAGAAGAAAATAATCTGAGTGGCCCCCAAACACTTAGGCTAACATGTACATGAAATACTACATTCGGAAACAAAAGGGAAACTTTCAGTGTATGAATTTCAGTGTAACACATTAGTGGCAGAATCTCAGGTTTTTCTGTAGCTCATTTAGTGTAACAATAGTCTAGTCAGGCTAAAATAATATCACGTATGTTTCTTTAAACTGTCATTTCGTTGTGCATGTACGGCTTTGTTTTACAAACTTAACCTTATGAAGCAATCCTGTATTTAGGTACAGATGTGCAGTAAGTAGAACTTAGTACCATGTATTATTATTCTCAGTAGCAAAACAAGAGTTTAAGAATGTCTGTGCCTGTGCTCAGATCTTGGCTCAGCCACATGTTACTGGTGTGCCTTGAGTCACTTCCCACTTCTTCAAAGCCCCTGTTTCTCCTCTTGCAAACTAGGTTAAAACAGTATCTTGTGATAAGGGTTAGGCGAGTGAACATAAGCCAAGTTTTAGAACCATGGCTAGCATGTAATTGGGAAAAACACAAGAGTTTGTTGAATACAAATACTTGACCATGTTCTCTACACACATTCTACTCCAAGGGCACGATTTTATTGCACAGGACGCTATGGGCAGAGAAGCTCAGAGGAGATACGTGAGGTGAGACCAGTCTAGTGACGCGCAGAGTTAAGAGGAGGGGATACCCAGTCGGCACAAGGGAACAGAGATCCTTCTGGGGCAGTCCCGTCTAGGTCCATCTTCCCACCCAAATCCAGAGCATCTCAGAGATCCGCAAGTTGGGAGTCCCTCAAATACCATGCAATCACAGTAACCACATGCCTTACCAGTTGCTTCTGCTCGAGGTGACAGTTTTTCTCAGGAGAACTTTGACCTGCATGTCTCTCTTGAGTAGAACCATTTTTTTCTGATTGTTCACTCATTTCTGATCGCTAAAAAAAGTAACTGGAAAAAAAGTAAAACACATGAATAGCATACCTCCCCATAACTGAATCCCGTGACCTTCCTGCTCTCTCCTTACATCTTACTTTCTTTCAAAGCCAGACTTACTGGAAAAGTCACTCGCTTTCCTGGCTTCTTTTTGTACCACTCACTCTGAAATCCTGCATCTGACTCCCCCAGAACACCAGGCTCTTCTCTGCCTGGTGTTCCACGAGCAAGTTGGCTGTACCTTTTACAGTTCTTTGCATCATGGACCTGGCTGCAGCAGGCAACATGGGGCCATTCACTCCCACTTAGGAGCACTAGGAATCCTCAGACCTCCATTCTTCCCCCTTTACACTTACTACCTTGAAAAAGAGGAAGACCTGTTAACGTCGTACATCCCCAGTGACTTTGTGAAATCTTATCTGCTCCCGGGGTTTCTCTTCAGAAATCACTGCCCAGGCTGCCTCTGAAAGCCCTGAGCCCCTCACTTTCACTCGAGTTTCTGTTACAGTTTTCATACAACTTGGGCTAAATGAAAGTCCTCAGCTTTCCCTAAAACTCAGCTGCTAAAATGCCTGTAATTTACTTTGAAATACTTCAGTGTATATACAAGACGCGTGGTGTGTGTGTGTGTGTGTGTGTGTGTGTGTGTGTGTGTGTGTGTGTCTCAGGTGACGCTAACACAGGGAACCACTCACAAATGCACCATCCAGGCTGCTCTGCGGTACTGTGTCCGAGAGGACCACACCCCAGAGGAGACTTCCCCAGTCCTGCTGCCTCCCTGTCTCTCATCAGCTACCCTTGCTGAGTGCAGGGCATTGCTTTTACCAAAGGAACCTGAGAGTTACGCTTTATCAATTCACTTAGCACCACCAGTCTGCCTGCCAACTGGAAATTCTGCTTCTTCCAATGTCTCTTCATTCTCTGTGTCTAGGGTGAGACCTGGATTGCTCACTCTTCTGTATCCCCGTCTCTGATTCCCAACATTAAGTTAGGAAGTCATGTTGATTTTTCTTTCCTAATATACCTAAGATTGATTCTTCCTTTCCATTCTCTACCAGGTAGAAGCCACCTAAAGAGAGCAGTGGTGGTAGTAATAGTAGCAAAGTGGTGGTGGTGGGGGGAGGAGGAGGAGGAGGAGGAGGACCACCTTGCCCTTGACCAAGGTGGCCTTAAGGTTCCCGTCAACATGACTTAACTTTAGATGGATTTCTTCCTGACTCTGCTCTGACCTCTGTTTTCTTAGATCATTTATTTCAGAAAACTTGTCATTGTCAATTCTTTCCCTGCTCCATTGAGATATGAATCTTCTCCCAGCCTCCTGCCAGTTTTACAACCCCAGAATGTCTTTCCCATGGACTAGGAGTCATCCCTTTGAAATGTAATCAGCCAGAAGGATAGGGCCCCTATTTGCCAACCTCTGTGGGAAGGTAGAAGCAAAATTTGCTAATTGGTGGGCAATGATCAGCAAACACAGGTGGCTAATCACAGAGAAAAACATTTGCAAACTTGGGAATGACACATCCCAAGGATCAGTCTCTCCCCTAAAGCGCTCTAGTATTTCCCTCGAACCTTTCATTTCAGCGGAGATGAGTTCAGACTATCAGATTTTGATAGCCTTGAATAAAATTTTCTTTGCCTGTTTAACTTTGGTGCAGTTTTTGCTTTGACAGCCTCACATGCAATGTCACATCTGATCAGCCAAACATTCCTGGGGAGCACTTGCCAAGTGGCCTGGAAATAAAATCACATGGAGCTTTTTTTTTACATGATGAATTCCCTGTCAAATCCCAGCCCTTCATAACTGGGGTTCTGATTTGCAGAGGGAAACCGTGGTGCTCCGGATGACGAATAAGCTCTCCAGACGGACCCTATTTCCCAGTTAAAGGAGATGTTAGGGTAGGTCTCATTTTCTTGGTCCAGTTTTGCCACGTGATCCTAAAACTATCATCCACATTTTCTTCCTGCCCCACATTCATCCAGAACACCGTGGTCATGTTGATACTTCTAAATCAGAAACGTCTTTATCCTATTTCTATGAAAAGACTTCAGTGACTCCCCTCTGCCAGTAGCATCCCACATCCCTGGTGTTATCAGTGAAGGTCCATCACAACCGGCTCGGAAGACCTGTCCAGGCTCACCTCCCCGCATTCCTTCCCTCGGGCCAGCGCTACTGACCTCCCTGCTCCCATCACGACTCCTCCTAACCTAACATCTCCTTCCTAACTCAACCCCCTCCCCGCCCCCCCCACTTTGAACTTTCTCTGCTAACTCTCTGCTCCAAGAAGCCTCCCTATCACTCTCATCCTCGAAGATCCCTTTCTCTCCTGGGCTCTGTGTGGAGCTTCCTCAAGAAACTTGCCCCAGGAGGGGCCCTAAACCCTCTAGCTTCTTCATAACAAATTTTCTTCCACATGGGAATAGATGTGATTTTATGATCATCTTTGCAAGAACTTCTTCTGAAAGAGCATCCATTTAACTGCATTGAGATAAATGAGTATTGTATGCAAATCCTCCACCCAAGTTGCTGTTAAGCCCTCTGTGAACTAGAGGTCTCTGCAAATAGATGAGGGGTGGAAACGTGCTCCTTCGCATTCTGAATGAAGCAAATAGAAGTTACAGTCGAATTTCACCAGGGCCTGAAATTGTAATTGGATTTGGTTAGGAATATATATATGCCCCAGGCCAAAATATATGCCCCAGGAAAAGTAATAAAAATGTTCAGAACTCCTTTTTTTTCCTTGCTTGGAATTCCCCAGGTAGGGGTTCTGAACCAGAGAAGGAGAGCCGGAGGTGGGGGGGGGCCTTGAACTTGAGTAAAGAATACACGTTTATTTTCAGTAACCTCTAACTGAAATGCTGGCATTTCCTTTTATTATAAGGCACCCAGCAGACCACAGTAGTGTTAGTAGTGCTCTTGACTTTGTTGTCGATGAAAGCACTGATGTTTTCACCACCCATTATAGTTGTAGATATGGCAAAATGTTATTGACACTCATCACATCTTCAAAATGATGGTAGTTCTTAGACCTGCGGCTCGATCATATTTGATGCATTAATACTGAAGCACATATACTGCCATCGCAAATTGTTTTTAACATTTCGATAACTGTATTTCAATATAACTGGTTTCCTTTGTAACCTTACAGATTTTATTTTATGCAATTAAAAACATCATTCTGAGAAACGGTCCATAGAGATAACAGTTGGCCAAAGCAGTCCATGACACAAAAAATAAGACTAAGGACCCCGCCAAGAGGCAGGGAGAACCCGCCGCCGCCATCTCACTGATCCTGGTGCTGAGACATGTCTCCTCCTGGCTCTAGGTGTGCATTTCCAAGCACAGGGCTGAAACCACGTGGCATATCCTGGGGAACTGCATTTAATGGAACACAGAGTGTATGACATTGATTTAACCAGCTCTCTATTTTGTCCTAACATATGTCAGACTGCCCGTGAAAGATCCACGGTATGGTCTAACCCAAAGAGAAGAGGCTCCCCAAGCAGCAGACGGAACACAGACTTAAGCGCAGCCATCCTCTGAGTGTGGCCCAAGAATGGGGCAACTGGTTTGCACCTGGCTTTGGCCAGAATGGCAATCAACCACTTCACTAAGTACACTGAGTAGTTTATCTGATATTTTCCTTCACAGCAAGACTGTCTTCTTGGAAGGAGGCAGTTCACTGATTTCCATTCTGGCCCAAGCTCCTGGATTCACCACGAACAGGAAGTTTGAGTAGCATGTGTTGGCCATGAGCCTCGCCTTCTTTCTGTAGTTAGTTCAGTTTTCACATGCAAGCTCCCATCCCTATTAGGAATTCAGCTCTGGAAGCAGTCTTACACCTTTCTTTATCTCCCACCACAAGCAAGCCTAGAGCTAGTAAATAATTCGTGCTCGATAAATACTTCATAAACATTAAGCTAATGGATGCTAATTATTAGGCACCTACTATGTGTCAAGCACTTTGCTAACCATTCTACAGATACTACGTTTTTTAATTCCGTTGTAGCACTCTGAACTAGATATTATCACCCGCATTTTACAGATGAGGAAACTGAGGCCCAGAAAGCTCATTTAGGCCTCAAAGGTTTAAAACCTAGATTTGTCTGGACCCTAACATGTTAAAGCTTCAAGATCTGTTTTAATGATGACCACCATCTCTACACAAGATATTGCTGAGGGATGGGATGTAATCAACAGAGCCTTTTCACAATGAAGCCTGGACTAGGAATGGGGGAAGGTGCATTTTAGATCATCTTGGGTCTGCCTCTGTTAGAGCAGGCAGACAGCTAGATATGAGCAGAGAAAGGGGGACACAGGCCAAATGGCAGGAATTGCGCAGAAAGGAGGGGCACGAGCCAAATGCAGGAAAGCACACATCATGTCAACAACAGAGGTCCCTGGGCAGAAGAAGAAAAGCAGGAACCTCTGGACTGATAAGCAATCACATATTTTGGGCTGGTAAGTGTCCTGGAGGCAGACAAACAAAGGTGGGGAAAGGCAGCAATCTCCAGGATCCAAATGTAACATTTTGCTCATTATGTCCTCATTACAATAAAATTAACCTTGCAGATTAGAAGTACCCACCATGCACTGAAGCCAAGACACTCGACCCTCTCAATTCAGGCTAAATAAGGACAAAAATTCCTCTTCCTCTCAGGAAGGTGAGCTGGGATGAAAATCAGGGACTATGACCCCAAGCCCTTTCCTCCCCAGTGAATATTCCGCCCACTCATTTTTACACTCTATGTAACCAACTTGCCAAAGAAACTCAGCACTGCTGCTCACCTGAGCCTGCCTGCTCTCCCCTTGAGAGTGTATGATCTATCCTTAATAAATCCCCACTTTGCTTCCTTAACCTCCGTGTCTTAGCTCTGAACTCTCCCTGGGATGGGACAAGAACCTGGACACCGTTACATCCACTGGCAGCACCTCCCCTAGCCCTCCTGTCACAGTGCACATCTCCAAGGGTGCGCTGGGGAAGGTTTCCCTCTCCGGCAGGAGCCAC